TCAAAGCCCAACGTTTTGTTTCATTCCAAGTCAATTATGTTCATTTTTTATGATAAATTCGTCGTGTAAATGGGGTGTGTGCTAAAAAGCTAGGAAGCACTGGACAGCTGTTTCGACTTGGTTGGGTCTCACCGGAAGTGCGAATCCATCGACCCAAAGGGGGGGATCGAACTCGGGACCTCAACTGTTGAACGCAAGCATGCTACTCAATCAGCCACGGGGAAGCTGATCAGACCGTTTTTCTCTTTGAATTTACACAATGTAGCGCAACCCGTCTATGCGAGATTATTGCAAGTATCGGTCCTCGCTCATCTCAGCACTAGGTCCCGGGTTCGATCCCCAGTTGGGTCGATGGATTTGCACTGCTGATGAGACCCAACCAGATCGAAACAGATGTACAAAGCTTCCCGGCTTTTCAGCTCACGCCTCATTTGCACAACGAATTAATCATCAAGACAATTCAAATCCTCCAATTCTAGTTCTCCTTAGGGTGCTGTACGTTTAACTTTGCGCTGGACTGATTTCTTGGACCCCTCATCCAGCACATGGGGAACTGGAATGAAGCATACTGATAGTGTATATGTGATAAGGAATTCCGTAATCTCGAATTGTTAACGCACTGAGAGTTGTTCTGGAAATCAGCGACCTTGCTGATAACTCCCTCAAGTGTTCCAAATGTGTTTCATGATACCTCGGTGAAGTTGCTCAGTATCTGGGAGTGGCTCTCCCATCATTGATATCCTCCAGTTACCCATAACAAAAGCCAATAAACACCTCGAAATGATATTGATTGACACTCTTGTTGACTGTCACATATTTCTGAATGCATGCGTGGTATGCGTGGAAGTTCCTCGTAAGTTCAAGAATTTAAACATTTCCACATTTAAACTGATACTACCAACTACATTAAATAGCTTCTCAATAATTTTGCAGAATTATAAAAGAAGAACTGAATTTCATTTCGCCTTTTTGGATGAGCTTGACAACCTTTTTGCAAATGTTTGATCACCAGCTGAGGTGACATCGTAAGTGCTTGGCAATAAAAGAAGAAATTGTCGAAGTGCTACGACGATGACCCATTTAAACTACGTACACAGTTCCTTGAAAGTGTTTATCGAACTGATGAACATTAGTGAGTGCTTGCATGCAAATATTTGCAAAAATTTAGTTTTAACCATTTTCAAGATCCTTCACTCATTCCATTCATGACAACTACTCATAATTTCTCCTCGACATGAAAACCTGATTCCTTTCCCCACATTTTTCTTGCCAGGAACTATTTATTTGTACAGAACCTCGCCAGTACCCCCCACCTTGTTCGTGAATAACTGAACACAAAGATTCAATCAACGCTGAGCTGTGAAAAAAAGCTTTATGAGTCAAACCACATTTTACCTCACATCTAAGGCCTAGTTTACCTCTTCGTGTCCGGTAGACTGGTAATGTGAACTTCATACTTCTGTAAACATTCATACTTCCATAACATTATGATACGAGATCAAACGATCCATTATTATTATATTGTGATTAATAGCACAATTCAGATCTTTGAGACCGATGGGTACCAATAAACAGAGCCTGGATAAAACTAAAAGTGCAACAGCTTCTTGATTTGTTAAAATTCCCCGAATGAGAAAAGTTAACATTTTAATATAATGCAATGTAATATACTTTGCGGACAATACTGTCTGATATCCCAAGGTAGAAAGTCATTTACCGATGCTTGCAAGATTATTTTTATACAGTGCCAAAAAGTCAAATCTTTACATTGAAATAATCTACTGATGATTTTGACCGTTTCTTGAATTGGAGAAGTCAACCCCTGGTGGCGGTGATCAGCCTATTGTCTACCCTCCTTGTTTGCTGCAATCGATCACCCGCACACATAAACATAGTGGTTCTACTTATATCCTGACGTGAACACCCTGCAGAGAGACCTG